TTAAGATTATTTGTACTAATTAAAATGGATGAGATATCCGTAAATATTCGTAAATATCCGCAAATATCTATTTATTTTCCGGATATCCGTTTTTCCGGATATCCGTATTTTTTCGAAGCAAAGCAAATACCAAAATTAGATATCCGTAACATTCGAAGCAAATCACAAATACCTTAAAAAACCCGGATATCCGATCCGTACCCACCCCTAGCATGAACAGCCTAAAAGTCATGTGGATTCATCGCATCATCTTAACTCCCCTCTTGACTTTCTTCATTCGTTGAACTTAGTTTTTTAACAAGACGATAAGTCAAACTTCAACAAAAAGTAACTAAAATTCAATCCATTTATTGCCTCTTTGTCTAAAGACTGCGTTCGCGTATACAAAACTGGGCAAATTTCAAGTACAAGTTAGCGTAAATGATGGATCTTATGGACTACTATCGGGCTTAATAAAAAAGCCCATATATATTTATGTATTGGATCGAACTTGAATCCTTTATAGGGCCCGAGACGATTTCAGACATTAACAAAACGATATACGAAAAAGATTACTCGTCTTTGCGGACAAGCGAGTTGCGAGATGCCAACCCGTGCCACGTGCATTACGATGTAACCAATTTATTTAATTTTTCTTTAAAAAGAAGTAGTAGAACATTTATTTATTTTCATTAAATTGTTGAAAAAGATGCCTCCAAGATGTTAATTAATTTTTCGTAAACTATTTGTTTTTAAAATACTTAGCGTGATGAAGGCAACTCACCGAGTGAACTTTATTGGATTAAAAAACAAGACTAAATCAATTATAAAGCTTTTTATATCGAGTTTTTTTTTTCATTCGTTAATAAATAAACTAAAATTCATTGATTCTTTGAAAAGTAAATTTTTTTATATTAAATATCTGTACAACAAACAACAAAGCAAGGTTAAAAAAGTATTGTATATTTATCTTCACATCTTACATAAAGTAATTAATTAATTAATTACATTCTCATTTTATTTTCCTTTTAATTTTAAGTGAATGTAAAAACAAGAAAAATAAAAATTGTTTTTTTTTCCCTCCCCTCTCTCTCTCCCTCCGTGTTCAACCGTAGATGTTCGTCGGGAAAACACCTTCGCCTTCAATTTAGTTAGATTTTCCCTAAATCCTCGACTATACTATTCGCGAATCACACGCTCTCAACCTTTGCATCTTTCTCAGGTATTAAATCTCTATTTTTCGTTTTTTTTTTTGGTTTGGATCAAACATGTTTCGCTTTTGATTTTTGCTATTAAAACTTCGAAATTGTATGAGTGTGAATTAAGTAACCCTAATTTTTCAGTTTATTTGCGAGATTTGCATGTATATATATTTCGATTGAGCTAATTAGGGTTTCGATTTGATCTGGCCGAAATAAAAAATTAGGGTTTTCAATTGGGAACGGATGATTTGTTTTTTTTTTTTGGTATCGCATTCGAAATTAGGGTTTTGTGTTCTCACTTAGTTTGATTGGATGTAGAATTTAAATTAGAGTTTTTTAGCTGAATTTCATGAAATTTAAATGATGATCACCATTTTTTGGGGGATTTTGATGTTTTCATGGTTTAGGATTCATTGAAAGGAGGAGTTGCATCATAAGCATATGGATGCTTAAAAGCCTTAGCGCAATGCAAGGTGAGAAGGAGGTACCGTTGAGCAATAATCAAGGTCCTATAGAAGAGGGCCGAGTATCAAACCAGAACAGCGATCCCAATATAACCTCTTCTGCTTCTATCACTGTTACTCAGTTTCCTGGTATATCTTGTTGCATTCATTCAGCGTTTTTTTTTTTTGAGCTAAGTTGATTACTTATGGGATTGGTAATGTTTATTATGTATGCAGCTAAGAAGCCAACTAGGCAATGGGCTGCTTGGACGCATCAAGAAGAGGAAAGTTTCTTCACTGCTCTTCGTCAAGTTGGAAAGGTTTTATTTTAAGCCTCTTCTTTCTCTTTTTTTTTTTTGGTTATGTATAAGTGACATTTTCTTTGTGTTTTTTTCTTTCTTTCAGAACTTTGCGAAGATTACTTCTCGTGTCCAAAGCAAAAACAAGGACCAGGTTGGTTGGTAGATCACTGAGTTTTGTTTCCTTTTCACTCGCACTTTGCTGCTGTTTGTTTTAGTTTCTCATCGTTGTGGTGGAAACTTGCTGTGCTTTTTCAGGTTAGACATTACTATTACCGTCTAGTCAGGCGTATGAACAAGCTTCTGGGTCCGGAGCTGAGTCTGGATGCTAAAAACCCAAAGGATACAAATGCTGCAATGCTACGATGGTACATTTCTTAAAATTATGCGCTTTGTGCTGGTATTGTAAATTGTTGAAGTACATTATTGTAGACGAATGTGGACACCACTCTCTGTGAGGCTTGTCTAGATAACAAGCTATAGATCTTGCGCTGAGAATAAATGCTAGCAATCTCACGCTGTTACACATGATTAGATAGTAACAGACATATAGATCGTGAACATCACACTCTTTTTTTTGTTCACCTTCATTGTCATTCGGCTTTTCTTTCTAAAGGAGATATGCTTTTCCATTTGTCTTGCAGGTGGTCGTTACTGGAAAAGTATAGCTGCAAAGCTTCAAAACTTCACCTTAAACCTCGGAGATTCAAGCTATTCTTAGAGGCCTTGGTTAGTTGGCAAATGAAAACTATGTTTTATTCTTGGGTTTGATATGAACTGGTTTTCAAACTATTTTTTACAAACCCTTTATCGTGAAGGAACACCAATTGCTAAAAGACCGCAGAAAAAGCACAAGAAAACGGGCTTGCCATGGAGAAACTTTCTCTTCCGCCAACCTTGGAAATATCTCAAGTCATAGCAGGGAAAGAGGATTGGATAACAGTCCCTTTAGATTGATTCTTTGCGACAGCCAAATTGTTAGGCCTGGAAGAGCATCTACCAAACATGGTGAAAGCTTAGGTGTTAACCTTGGTGATGAAAAGGAAGATTCAGCCGTAGGAAGAAGGCAACGACGAAAGCAAGGTACTCTATATACTATTTTTTATGCATGTTTATTAGATGGGGAGTTTTGTTTGGCCTCATATTGTATGTGTGTTTTCAGTGTTCTTAAAATTTTGGAGATTATCTAATAGATCCAGGCTTACTTGATTCTAAGCAGTTCTTCCTTCAGCAGGTTATAGAAAATGGGAAAAGGCTGCAATAGATGGGGTCTCTTTGGTTGCTGATGCTGCAGAACACTTAGAACGAACTTCAATCGACAAAGATGTGAATGGTCAGAAAGATTTACTAGGTAGTATTGGATGATATTTCATTTCTTAGATGTTTGCTTATCGAGGAATATCATGTGCAAATTCTAAATGTGATTATCTTTTATCTCAGACTTAGGTCCCAGAAGAAATTTAACTGGAAAGTCTCCACTTTCCCTATCCTCTTCTGGTGAGGTTCCTCTCAGTGATGCCAATATGCAGTTATCTGCCAAGTTGAAACTTCAGTTGTTTCCAATTGATGAATGTACAAGAAGATCCTTGGAAGAGGTAAGCTTCAAATAAGAATTATACAGATAGCAATAATTTTATGAGACATGGAACTGAGCTTGATCTGTTAACAGGGCAAGCACAATCCGCATCTGGAACTTACTCTAAGTAATCGCAAGAAGATATCTTCTGTTCTGGAACATCTCAATCGCAAATGGGGAAGTTCAAGTTGTGCATGTGGAGAGCTGATGCTGTTCCCTTACAATGCAAGGAAAGAAACTGTAGCTTGTCATCAGAGGTGGACCAGAGACTCTTTTCTAAGCGCAGCAGAAGTGCATTCAATGATTGGAAGTCCCTTGCTTTTCCGCTTAAGGTTTGCTCTCTTGCTCTCCTAGTCTGTTGAAGGTGTGTTCTCGTCAAATTACCCAACCATAGACCAACTTTTTTCAATATTTATTTGCAGGTATGGTTGGTTCGTCCAGGACGCATCAGGTTCTTTTATTTCTCAAGTTCCAACTTCAGCTTCTTATCCTTCACTTGCGGATAATATGAATGTGGATGAGGCGAATGAGGTCAACATGCTCCCTACTGAATCAGGACCCTTATCTAAGCATTCAACTGCTGCTGGTAATCATTATGCAGAAACTAGAGATAATTATGAACCTGCTTCAGCTCCTAGTACTGCGCTTGACCATTTGAGCAACGGTAATGCACTGTCAGCAGGAGCATGGGCTGATAGTCTTACTAACATAAGTATAGGTGATCTACTTTGTGAAGCGCCTGATGACATAGATAGTGACTGTGTGGATCCACCAGCCACTGAGGGTTCACATTGCCTCCTTCGAGATGTATCATTTGCCTCTGACTCTTTTGATGCTGCAATTGCTGCTCATATACTAAGACACCAGAACAAGCCGCCAAGTGGTCTAATACCGGTGACTACTGGCTCTTCATCTCTATGGGATGATGAAGATACACGTGATGCCTTCTCCTTCCATAAGAATCGTCATGCAAGCTCTTCCAAGTTGGCTAATGTTAGTACTGGCAGAGAAAATGGAGAGCCTTCTCAGTTAGTGGAGGTAAGCTATAACAATCACAAAGTACTTACACAATTGTTTACAGAAGAACTAAACCATCTGATTCAACACTTTTGTAACTTTCTCTTAGGCTACATCCGGCGATGAGGGGCCTTGCAACCTTCCTGATCAGCAGGGAGATCCAATGGAAGAGGTTCCAACAGACCCTCACACGATTGATTCTCCAGGGAAGACCATCTATGGGCTTGCGGATGTTTATTGGGTAAGTGGAATCTCGAAATCTCATATTCTTTTCCTCCAAAATAAACAATCCGCATATATTCAATGCTTCTCTTTTTGCAGCCGGACTCATTAGGACCACTGGATCTAGACATTAGATCTTCAAAGTATACAGAAGATGTGAACCTCAGTGATAGCCTCGGGGGTTTGAGCCGTCTGATAGCGACCAGCCTTGATGCGTTTCAAAACTGTTCGCTTTTTGGGTTCGACAGCAAGAAGGATAAGTCTAACATGGTCTGAAATGGAACCAACGCAAAAAAAAAACATGTGGTTCAGAATGTTGATAGTTGAAAAAGAATAGAAGAATCTTTTATCATAACTGATAGCTTCACTGTACAAAAACCTGATGTAAGTTTGATCTTCCTTTCACTCTTTCTTCTGTGTTGATACATGATGTTTCTATGTTTACACTTACTGTTATTTACATGCTTAGTAAGCTATGATTTCCCTTTTGGTTTCTTCTTTTGTTTATAGAAGTTTCGTGGCTTCATATCAAATAAGCATGTTGAACCATTAGTAAAACAACAATTTAATTTCTCATCAAATTATTTTTCGAGTTCTAATATACACAACAGAACCTGTATGATGAGTGGTGTTGTGAATTCTAGGACTTGAGATAAGATCTACATTAACAAAAAATCAATGTTCATTACTAATCAATGTTCAATCCGGTTTTCCAACTTCCACACAACAAAGTAAAATAAAACAACGTATATAAAATTAGATTCGCTTCCACGTATCTACTAATAGTGAAATTCTTTTGTTGCCTCACCTAACTATTCAAATTTACAAAGATACAGTACCATTCGAAGATTGAATCAAAACGATTTATCTGAATGTTAAATTCGGGTTTATTATGACTATGGTGATAAGTAGATTGATCCTAACCATATTGTTAGTTGATTATAACAACTTATCCTTGAAGTGCCATGTTACCATAAGTAGATACTAGATTTTGACCCGCTCAACCGAGCGGGTGTTTAATTTCATATATATATTTTTGTTTAATCATTATTGGTATATATTTTTAATAATATTCATATGTATAAATGTTTATTTATTGTTTTTTGTCAACTAAATGTTCATTTATATATGCTTATTAATTTTAGATAACAAATTATTGTATATATTTATATAAATTTAAGATATGCTAATTTGTATACATATATTATATAGTGTACTATGTTAACCCGTTTTTACAACATATTATATTATTTTAATATAAATATAATATTTATGAAAACAAAACATATTAATATATCATGTTAATATGATTTTATCATATTTAGCTCAACATAATAACTATTTTAATAGGATAGATTATGATTATAAAATAAATACAAAATATGATAAAATTTAGTTTTTCATTTTATAAACGATACTGAAATTTATTATTATATATTAAGGTATAATAGTATTTTTCTTATTAATTAAGAAACTAATAAATTTATTGTCATAGTCACAAAACTTACAAAATTGATGTAAGCCAATGATGTAACTACCTTACAAAAATGATGTAAGCCAACTTGTCATAATATGACAAATCTGCTTTAGGTACATTGGTCGACTCGTTCTTATCATGTCGTCCTCGTACACGAACAGACTGTCTCTACGTGCCCTTTGAAATTTCTTCCTCCTCATCTTTTCACCAAAACCAAATTTGACGGCTTCTGTTGCCCCAACATATTTTCCAAGATAATATAATATAATCATTCATTATATGTTGATGTATTAGGCATATTCGAGTTCAGATATACTCACCACAGAAACTGTATAGTGAGTAAATTTTAGGAATTCTATGTTGGAATTGAGATAAGATCTAAAATAAACGATTTACAAATCAATCAATCGTTCATTACTTAGTTTTAAGTTGGAAACTTATATAATTTATGATAATACATATAGTTCAAATTATTGCCACAAATTGTGCGATGCTTCTTCTTTTCATCGGAACAATATAGCTCTTATGCTCATTATATGTTGTTGATCCAAAGTAGTCAATAGTAGAAAACTTGAAGGAGATTATCATGTCAAGCTATATAGGATCCATTATCATGTTAAACTTAAACGGAATTGGTTTAATTGGTAATTTGTTTCAATTTTCTTCAGAATGATATTCTTACAAGTTTTTTTATTGTAAAGAAAAAAAAGAAGAGATCCATTTGAAATTCATTTATACAGTACCATGTATAAATATCCAGTCAGTATACACATGTATACCACTCAAAATACCAAAGAGGCAAAGACAATAAAACTCTTCCAAAAATCAAAGATCAATGGAGAGTGCAAAGTCGAATAAGCCTCATGCCATGATGATACCATACCCACTTCAAGGCCATGTTATCCCTTTTGTTCACTTAGCCATCAAACTCGCTTCTCATGGCTTCACCATCACTTTCGTCAACACTGACTCCATCCACCACCACATCTCCACCGCTCGCAAAGGTGACGCCGGAGATATCTTCTCCGCCGCTCGCAGCTCCGGGAACCTAGATATACGTTACACCACGGTGAGCGATGGCTTCCCTTTGGACTTTGACCGGTCTCTTAACCATGACCAATTCTTCGAAGGCATTCTCCACGTCTTCCCTGCTCACATCGATGATCTCATCACCAAAACCTCCCGCCGGGGTGATGATCCTCCGGTGACTTGCTTGATCGCCGACACGTTTTACGTTTGGTCATCTATGATTTGCGACAAGCACAACCTTGTTAATGTCTCGTTTTGGACCGAACCTGCCTTGGTCCTTAATCTCTATTATCACATGNAGGCATTCTCCACGTCTTCCCTGCTCACATCGATGATCTCATCACCAAAACCTCCCGCCGGGGTGATGATCCTCCGGTGACTTGCTTGATCGCCGACACGTTTTACGTTTGGTCATCTATGATTTGCGACAAGCACAACCTTGTTAATGTCTCGTTTTGGACCGAACCTGCCTTGGTCCTTAATCTCTATTATCACATGCATCTCCTCATATCCAACGGTCATTTCAAGTCTCTTGGTAACACTCTTAAATACTTAACTAATCATGTCAATGATATGTTTACTATATATTAAACTTATTTCAAAAAACAACCAAAATTTTGGTCTATATATAATATTTTTGGAAGTTTGTATAGTTGATAAAATTTTATAGAACTTTTCTTCTGAATCCGATGGTTATAGTTACATCATTTATCTAACATTTGTAACTACATGCTAGATAACCGTGAAGACATGATCGATTACATACCAGGAGTTAAGGCAATAGACCCAAAGGACTTGATGTCATATCTTCAAGTAAGCGACAAAGACGTAGACACGAACACAGTGGTCTATAGAATAATATTCAAGGCCTTCACTGACGTCAAGAAAGCCGACTTCGTTTTATGCAACACCGTTCAAGAGCTAGAACCAGGCTCACTCTCTGCTCTACAAGCCAAACAACCGGTTTACGCCATCGGTCCGGTTCTCTCAACCGAATCAGTTGTCCCCACAAGCCTATGGGCCGAGTCAGATTGTACAGCATGGCTCAAAGGCCGCCCCACCGGATCAGTCCTCTACGTCTCGTTTGGTAGCTATGCACATGTTGGTAAGAAGGAGATAGTGGAGATAGCCCATGGGCTTTTACTAAGTGGGCTTAGTTTCATTTGGGTTTTACGTCCCGATATAGTCGGCTCTGACGTGCCGGATTTTCTTCCAACCGGGTTTATGGATGAAGCCCAAGGTCGAGGGCTTGTGGTCCAGTGGTGCTGTCAGATGGCAGTAATCTCAAACCCGGCCATTGGAGGGTTTTTGACACATTGTGGATGGAATTCCATTCTAGAAAGCGTTTGGTGCGGTTTACCATTGTTGTGTTATCCGCTTTTAACCGATCAGTTCACGAACCGGAAACTTGTGGTTGATGATTGGCGCATTGGAATTAACCTTTGTGAGAAGAAGATTGTCACAAGGGATGAAGTCTCGGTGAATGTAAAACGGTTGATGAATAATGAGACTTCAAGTGAGCTGAGAAACAACGTTGAGAAGGTTAAACGTCATATCAAAGATGCGGTTACAAGCGTTGGATCTTCGGAGACGAATTTTAACTCATTTGTTGGTGAGGTCCGAGATAGTATAGAGACTAAACTGTGTCAAATAAATGGGTTAGAATAAGTCATTAAGTCGATCAGAGTAAGCTATGTAATGGTGTAGTCATTTATGTATTTTGCATTCAAACCCTATCAATCACATTATGGAGCTTTATGAAAAAACTACCTTAAACATGAATGAAAGTTTCTCTTAGCATGTGGGCAAAAAATAGCTGGAGCCAAGAATCAAACTAAAGCCAACTCGATTGGAAGCCACCGATTACTCTACCATGAACTAAAACCTAACTCGAACCAAAATGAAACTCAAATGAATACTCAAAATATTTTTTTTTCGAACACACCAAAAAATATATTTAAAACATAAGTATATATACAAAACTCGTTAATCGTATTCATACTTGTAATAATTTTAAATATCCAAAATTGCAATTATAAAACATAATGTATTATTTATTTTGATATGTTTTTAGTACATTTAGATAGTTTAAATATAATATTTGAATTTAAGCTATTTGTATTTATTTTCGATTAAAATAATCGATGTCAATTGTATTTCATATGAATGTTCGGATGACAATTGATATCAAGCAATTAGTTAGGGTGAAATTAAAAGTGGATTCTAATCCGAAAAAAATGTAAAGAGGAAAAAATATCTAAGTTTCAAAAGAATTAATCCATACCAAATTTATCTAAAATATAAAATTTAGATTTCTCATTTCTCATTTATCTATATAAACCGTTATCAAACGGATTCTGTCACTATACAATAATTTGGCGGCAATGCAACTCTTTGCTGACCCCAAAACCCCTTTCAAAAGAAAAGAATAAAACAGAACCGACATGACTTCATGATCATACCCAAATGTCTGTTTTGTTTCGTCTTACTTCAAAGGTTGCGTCTTTAGCGAAATCAGGCCGCATAGCAATCGCCCGCCAGGTGTTCGACGAAATGCCTGAAAGAGATACAGTGGCGTGGAACACAATGTTGACTAGCTATTCCCGGTTAGGTCTACATCAGGAAGCTATTTCTATATTCACCCAGTTGAGATTCTCAGACACTAAGCCTGATGGTTACTCGTTTACAGCAATCTTGAGCACCTGTGCGAGTCTACGTGATGTTAGATTCGGAGCACAGGTTCACTCTCTAGTGATCCGGTCTAGTTATGATGCTTCGTTGGAGGTGAACAATTCTCTTATTGACATGTATGGTAAGTGTTCTGACACTCTTAGCGCTAACAAAGTGTTTAGAGAGATGTGTAGTGATAGTAGAAATGAAGTAACTTGGTGCTCGCTTTTGTTTGCGTATATGAATGCTGAAGAGTTTGAAGCTGGTTTGAATGTTTTTGCTGAAATGCCTAAAAGGGTTTTGTATGCGTGGAACATAATGATCTCTGGTCATGCTCAGTGTGGAAAGATTGAATCTTGTTTAAGTTTATTCAAAGAGATGTTGCTAGAGAGCGACTCTGAACCGGATTGTTATACGTTTAGTTCTTTGATGAACGCTTGTGGTGGTGATTCATCGAATCTTGTTTATGGACGGATAGTTCATGCTGTTATGGTGAAGAACGGGTGGGATTCTGCGGTTGAGGCCAAGAACTCTGTGTTGAGTTTCTACGCGAAAGTAGGATGCAAAGATGATGCGATGAAAGAGTTTGAGTCTCTTGAAGTCTTGACTCAGGTATCTTGGAATGCTATTATCGACGCGTGTATGAAAACAGGAGATACAGAGAAAGCTCTTGAGGTTTTTAAACTAGCTCCTGAGAGAAATATCATAACTTGGACTACTATGATTGCAGGATATGGTAAGAACGGTGATGGAGAGAAAGCTCTAAGGTTTTTCGTTGAGATGATGAAATCTGAGGTGTATTCAGATCATTTTTCGTATGGTGCTGTTCTTCATGCTTGTTCAGGATTAGCGCTTTTAGGACAGGGGAGAATGATCCATGGTTGTTTGATCCATCGTGGCTTTCAAGGCTATGCTTATGTTGGTAACGCTTTGGTTAATTTGTATGCAAAGTGTGGAGACATCAATGAATCAAACCGTGCGTTTGGTGATATTGGTAGCAAAGATTTGGTCTCTTGGAACACGATGCTTTTCGCGTTTGGTGTCCACGGGTTAGCAGATGAAGCTCTAAAGCTTTATGAAAACATGATAGCGTCAGGTCTTAAACCAGACAAGGTGACATTCATTGGATTGCTGACAACTTGCAGCCATTCAGGACTTGTAGAGAAAGGATGCAAGATTTTCAGATCCATGGTTAAAGATTATGGAATCCCGTTGGAAGTAGATCATGTAACATGTATGATAGATATGTTTGGGAGAAGTGGACATCTAGCAGAAGCAAAGGAGCTGGCTACAGCTTATAATTCACTTGTCACTAACGCTAGTAGTAATAATAATAGTTCATGGGAAGCTCTTTTGGGTGCTTGTTCTACGCATTGGCACACAGAGTTAGGCAGAGAAGTTAGTAAAGTTCTGAAGATGGCAGAACCAAGCGAGGAGATGAGTTTTGTTCTGTTGTCCAACTTGTACTGCTCGAGTGGGAGGTGGAAGGAAGCAGAAGATGTGAGGAGAGAAATGGTTGAACGAGGCATGAAGAAGACACCTGGATGTAGCTGGATTGAAGTAGGTAACCATGTTTCAGCTTTTGTAGTCGGTGACTGTACTTCACACCCACGCATTGATGAGCTTTCTGAAACTTTGAGATGCCTTCAATATAACATGAGAAACCCTGAAACGTTTGGACCTTGAGAATTTTTAAGCAGATATAGAAACTGTTCATATACATTCACTATTGTATCAGTAATAAGCAAATAAGTTAACCTTCTTTTCATGAAGAATATAAAGTTGTGTTACCTTGATGCTTAAAATCTCAATTATCTCTAAATCATGTATTTAAATAAAATTAATTCACTTTTTTTTTCTTTTCTTTTCAAACAAGCAGTGTGAATGTGATGCAATCAAAACAAACAATGTCTATATCTCTCTCACCTACTAGTCAAAATGGTAGATTGAATTTTGACTAAGATCACGTGGGCTCTTGTAGCTTGTACTGAAATTGTTCATAATGATTTTTCTATCCCTGTTTCTCCACTACCATTCTTTCTTTTATATGGTTGGAAGTTTTCTGTATATTCAGAAATTTGCAGATTTGTAAGAGTGTGAAAACAGTTCTGCAGAATAATCTCTTAAACCTCCACTACAAGATTAATATTATCACTTAGCTGTTCTTATTTTTGTTGCCTTTAGATGATATCAGAAAGCGCTTAGAAAAAACAGTCATATTGAGTATGATTTATTTAGTCTTAACCTCAACCAATAGAGTAATACTACGACTATCACTTTTAGTTTGCCTTTAATATAATTTGAAAGCGTACAGAAAAAAGAGTCGTCGAGAAAAAATTGGTAACCTCTAGTAATCGAGCAATATGATTGTTTAGTTTGCTGTGTAACAAAAAAAATGGTTTAGTTTGCATTTTATTCTGTTTGTGTCGGCATCAGTTAGTTTGCATTTTATTCTGTTTGTGCCGGCATCAGTTAGTTTGCTTCTTATTCTTTTAATTAGTTGTCAACATTATATTAATTTCTTTTTGAGAAATCATTATATTAATATGTTGCATTATTATTGAAGTGGTGAATCTGTATATGCATATGCATGGATTCTAGATAGTGGTATACGAGCATAAATAACATATTCTACGACCTTTATAAATGCATGTTCATATGAATTTTAAGAATATATAATCTAGTGGTCTAATTTTTTTAATATCACTGCTGCATCAGTATCCAAATTCAAACCAACCTTCATGCTGAACAAAGAAAAAGAAAGTTCAAGGTAAATTTGATTCACTTGTCCGACAGTTTTAGATGGTCCCTTTTTTGCAATGATATAGAATATGTAGTTAATATCAATCCAATTTAATATTTTACCGACAAGTGACAGAAACGGATTACTAAAGCATCATGATCACAAAAAAGAAATATTGGAATTTATACAATTTTTCATATATTTATTTATAGAAGGAAGC